TGTTTTACTAGAACTGAAGATTATGTGGAAGCTAGTCTAGGAGGAAATTCAGTAGTTTTTTCCAGGGTATTCAAGGTACATAAACAACATTTGTATAAACAGTAGTCATGAGGATATATTCAGGGGAGTCTCAAATCTAGAACACACCTGCTGCAGCTGGCAGTTTTGCAGGTTTTTTCTTCTCCTATGTATACTTAATAATTTCATGGTAGGGGTATCCAAGGGCATTGTGTATTTGAGTAAGCAAACTGAAAATGGGCTGTCACATTTCAGATGAGATAGAAGCATGAGATTTTTTAAAAAGGATATTCTAAGTTTGCTCTACCATAATAGTATGCCTGTTTTGCTATACTGGTTAAGAATAACAAAGGATGTCAATTGTGTACTATTGCTTAAATAATTACGATGTTTAATTGAATGTTTGGACAGCAAAGATGCTGGGATCCTACATGCAGATTTTGTTTGGTAAGTCAGTCAAACATAGCCACGTAATACTGTGTTTGTGCATGTGTGTGCATGCACGTGTGTGTTTCTTATCATAGATCAAACTGTATAAAGTGAAGCTATTATGCCTTCTGATTTGATACAAGCTAATAAGGGTTCCTCATCTCCCCTTAAAGTCCAGGACAAGTATATTCTATTCTACAGAACTTGCGTCGCAAAGTTGTGTCCGACCCATCGCAACCCCATGGACAACATTCCTCCAGGCCTTCCTGGCCTCCACCATCTCCCAGAGTTCACTCAAGCTCACACCAACTGCTTCAGTGACTCCATCTAGCCACCTCATTCTCTGCCGTCCCCTTCTTCTTTTGCCATCTGTTGTTCCCAGCATTAGGCTCTTCTTCAGTGAGTCCTTCCTTCTCATTAGATGGCCAAAGTATTTGAGCTTCATCTTCAGTATCTGGCCTTCTAAAGAGCAGTCAGGGTTGATCTCCTCTAGGACTGACCTGTTTGATCACCTTGCTGTCCATGGGACTCGCCGGAGTCTCCTCCAGCACCACTACAGAACTTACCTGGAAGTAATCCCCATTTAACTAAAATGAACCTTGTGTCTGAGTAAACATTTATAGTGTTAAGGTACCAGTGTTATAATGAACTTGTGAATATGATGACTGGACCACATGGTCCATCTCTCTGAGGAAATCATTTTATTTCTACTGATTTCTCAGCAGGAACAGGATGAAATAGAAAGAGTTCAAGGAGGAAGAAATCCAACTGTGTGCATACTCTGGCATTTTCTTCCATTTTTTTAAAAGGCAGATGAAAAATTTTCCTGATAGTCAAGGAAGAAAATTAAATGGCTTGTGCTTGACTGGCTGGGTTTTGGTATATCAATAACTCATAGTTCAAAATTTCATGTGCAAGCCTTGGTCTCTGAGCACAGGTCTAGTCCTTGTGATGTAGCTTTTTGTGGCTATTGAGTAGCTAGTTTAGAGAAGCTCTTGAAAAATGTCAACAGGATTTCAACAGCTTCCATCCTACGGCCACCGAATCTCACTTTCTGAATATCGCCATCTAATTACATATTGGACAAGCAGGCACCATCTTATTTCTGAAATTTGTTGACTGCTATATACAGCTATCTGCTTCCAGATTCTATCCGGAACAGTCACAGAATGTTATACTGCAGATTCACATTTCAAAGCATTACATCAGCTATTCCTTTAGCCCCAGTGAGGTAAAAACAGAAAAGAAAGCCCAACATTTCAGAGAAGCTTAATTAGTACTAAGCATGCTTTACTCTACGAGAGACCTAGTTCACCTGCTAATTATAGCTCCTTGCTAAAAACACATAAATGCAGTTGCACAGATGCTTGTGCAGAGGAATCTGACTGAGCACATAGCACCTGTAGCCACTGGCTATGATTTTTCCAGACCTGGTTTAATGTTCTGGAGAGGATAACTGTAACGGAAACCATCTGAGACAGAGTTATTTGAAGGACAGTCTACATGTGTAGGAACATGCCTTGGTTTGCTGGCCCACTGTCATGGCTGTTAGGTTGGTACAGTGCTGGTTCCTGGCACCTTCCATGAGCCTCCTTCAGTGAATCTGCCTGCTTGCTTGCTTCCTTGACAGGCAGAAAGGCAGGGAGCAAGAATGCAGTGACACCTACTGCTACTCCTTTTCACCACCTTCATTGTCTGTTAGAGGGCTGAGATGCGAGTGAACAAGCCAAGGGCACAATGATGAAGAGAAGGGACATCTCTAGGAGGCTGTTGTCAGCAGGCATCTGCCGGGATGTGGGTACTTGGCAGGTATCTAACTGATGCTGGTGGTCATGAACAGGTTGTTGCCTCCTCCTTTTCCTCTCCAGCAGACGGTGATGGGACTTTAGAAGCAACATCCTTTTATTAAAGCTTAAAAGTTACAAAGTTAAATCAGAGTGGTATTCTTTTGGAGGTATGAATGATGCATTTGACCATGTGAAGGGCTGAATCCAAACTGAAACATCCCTTCCTTCCATCCCTTTCACAAAACATTCTGCCTCCTCCCTCAGGGAGGCTCATGCTTCTTGCAGGTGAGACTGCAGGCATTTCAGATATGTCTTAATTGGTCTGCTTATTTTGCTAACCACTTCTTGACAGGGTCAAGCAACTCCCCCTGCATCTCCCTATTGCAAAAGTTCTTAAATGACTCCCTCCTTTTCCAGGTGGTTCTCATACTCTGTCTGAGAATCTTCACTAGGTGACCTGGAAGTGTCAAATTATCTGCCCAGCTCTGCACCTCAGGGTGCTCCTCAGAGTCAGACACATCTGAGCAGACTTTAATGCGCAAGAACTGGGCCCCTTCTCTTCACTGGTCCTGGGTTGCTGGGCAGTAGAGAAGGAGCCTTCTCTGTGCTTTTGGGACATCTACGTACCAAGGTTTACTAGTGGGCAATGATTCTTTTGGGATATTCAGAAACAATAAACATTCCAATGCATGATGACAAAAAGTAGTGGTTTATTTAGCGAAAAACTAGATCTGAAAAGAAAAATAGTACAGGATAATAGCATTAAAAATTAAAAGGCAAGATTAATATGCTCATGTCTCTCTCCAGCTGCTCAGAGTCCCTTAGGAAGGCAGGCACACCCCAAGAATTTGCCTGGTTTTTCTACAGCAATTTCGTGATCCATCTGCATTCATGATCTGCCATTACCTTTCTGTAAATCCGGGCAGTACTTCAGCCAGCTGGTGGTTTGGTGTCCTTGGAAGTTTCTGCTGTATTAACTTTGAGGTGCCGTAAGATTCACTGCTGCTTTCATTGGACTGTGACTGGCAGTGGTATGGGCATTATGAGAAATAATAGGAAATGTAAAAAAATCTTGTAAGAATCCCCAAATGCAATTTGTAGGTACCAGGAAAAACTTAATACTACTTTAGAAAGATAATTTCCCTCACCATTGCAAAACATTTCTTTAGTTCCTTTTATTTATAAAAATTGGTATATAAGGGCATTTGGCCCTAAAACAATTAAAAATCAAAATATTGTGGCAATTAAAAATTGGAATAGCCCAGGGTACAACTCTAAAATGTGTTAAAGGCTTTGTAGGATAAAAGTATATTCACTGCATGTCAAAAATATATCAAAGAAGCACCCAATATTTTGACTTTTAGGTCACAGAGATGCAAAATCAGGCCATACACTTTGCTACAGGAAATGCTGTAAGCCATCTTAAGCCACACAGACATTTTGGAAACATGATATCAATGACATATTTTTATTTGTTACTAACCTTTACCTTCTCTGTGACACTGCAAGGCACTTCAGGCTGAGCAATAGAGGGTAGCCCAAGGATGCCCACTGAGCACCACGGCCGAGTAGATTTCAACACTGGCCTTCATGATTCAAGTCCAGTAATGTTTTTGGAGCTGAGATGAATGCTCTTGGGTTTTTGCTTTGCCTCAAAGATAGCTATTTGGGGATTGTCCTCTTATGCCTCCCTTTTCATTGTGACATTTTGGAGGCACCCAGCCATTCACTATTAATCTTAGGCAATTTCAACACACGTTTTTCCTACAGACTTGTTGCATATAAAACTAGCCATTTCCTTTTTCTGACAAGGTTTCTATTCAAATTAATAATTTGAGGAAAAATGAGCATTTTGGCAGAACAACAAATTTTCAAATCATCTTTAAGACAGTATTTTAAAAGTTAAAGAGTAAGACTTGCAGGGGGTTGCTATAGAACTGTGCAGCATTCAGTTTTCAAGGTTGTGTCCTAAAGCCACTGTGCTACAATTCCAATTTGATGAATATGCCTTTTGCTTTACTTTTGCAAACTTTTTTTCTTCTTTCAACAAATAAGAATATCCATTAATGTATACGGTGACCAAAAGGGAGATTTTTCTTCACAGTCTGCCTCCTTTACCAATAACTTGCAATCATCACTTAAACAGGAATATATTGATGTTTCAGTGAATGCTTCAGATAGATTTTTAATAAAAGAAGAATCTGTATCTCACTGGGCAGTTTATACAGATTGAGTATAACAGGATATATCCATCAGTGTCTGTCTGGTTCCACAAAGACAAACTTCTTCATGGAGCAGAATTTTACTACATGATAGAGGTGTACAAAATTATGCAAGGTGTGGAGAAAGTGGAGAGAAAGACAGCCACCCCTCTTTGGGTACCATTCCAAGTTTTTCCATGACTACCAAGTGTTAGTAAAATTATGCCTGTTTTCAGTCACTGCAGTTCAGTTTCACTGCCTTTACGCACCATTCCAAACAATGGGTGATATATAACAAACTGTATTATAGCTGTATACTCTGTATACTCAGACATTTAAGTCAAGGCATGTGGGAAGTGATGAAGCTTCAGCAGAAGTATCTCTGCTAACTAAAATAATTTTACAAATGTATTGTTGCTAAGGAACATAATGTTTTTTATTTTTGCACATTTATTTGGAAAAACTATTTTAATGTTGATTTATGTTTTTAATTTAACATCTATTATTACTTGGAACAGAATAGATGCCACAGGCATGTTAAAAGTACATTTCATTCTGTTTCTAGATCTATTAGCTGTGCCTAAGCATCCTTATGCTGCTATGGAGAACTGGGGACTAAGTGTTTTTGTGGAGCAGAGGATACTTCTGGATCCAAGCATTTCTTCCATATCATACTTACTTGATGTCACCATGGTCATTGTGCATGAGCTATGCCATCAGGTAGGAGACCAGCCAATCACTCGTGAGCATGCGATATTACATTGTGCTTTTTGTTAGTTTGTTTTCTTGTTTTTTAAAGAGTGATCCATGCAGAATATTCTCTTGGGAAAATAATTAAGAAGACATCATTTAGTTCTACATTAACTGGAAATCTACTATACTGGAAAAACATCCTAGATTAATATGCTTTCCAATTATATTAAGCAGTTTCCCACTACTAAATGGGTATCAGGCCAATATTACAAAGCTTCCTTCCTCTGAAAGTGAATTAGTCTTTATATAGTTCAGTGCAGTAATGGTCACTGGAAATGATTTATTATAGCGCTATAACAGTTTCAAGTTGACTTTCATGTTCTTTTGAAAATTTGCATTGGATAGTCCCTCTGTTCTCCATATATAAATTTGCATGTACTTTTCTTTATGTTTCTTCCATGGGCCTCTCTGTTTATACATGATGAATATATTGCTTTCATGTGTATTGAAAATCTTAAATAGAAGATTTATGGCAGTAAATTCTTTACAATTTTCACATTCCTTTCGCATTACTTTATTTCTTTGCACAATCTTATTAACTGTTTTAAGTCATATTGGTTCAGAATTGGGAAACAGTACAGGCAACAGGATTCACTTTTCCACTCTGGAAACCAATGTAATCAAAACTTCTAAGATGAGTTCTACCCAATATATACTACAATCGCACCTTTATAAGAGTACAAATAACCCCCCTCATAGGCAAATTTAACACTGTTTCCAGAACTGAAAATAGCACAGAAATAATCTATAAATGATGGTTCTGAGCTAGCGGAAACTAAGCACTTTTAATTTCCATTAATTTCTTGGTAGAGATGTAAACACATGCCTGCTTTTTCACTGAAATCAAAGAGTGATTAACATGCTTAGCTTTGCCTGAACAGTCCCTTAAGCTTAGTATATACTTGGTTCAAGAGTGACTCAGGATGCAGTCCTGTGGCTTCTTTGACAATTGTCTAGGGAACCTTAGGATGGAACAGAGTCCCACCTCCCACCTCAGGGAAGCACTGCAAGGTTGGAGTAGACACTGCAACCTTAGAGAGTACTTTTTATGGCTTCTGCTCTAGAGCCAGTATGGTTCTTTTAGCACTGGTTGTATTCTGAATGCTGTGAGCTGGCATGGAAATGGAAGGATGCAGAGGGTGGGAAAGAGGGGAGCAAGAAAAATCTTGATAGTGCCTCATTTTCTCCTTGTGTGGAGTGGAAAATGCATTTAGTGGCACTCCCAGCATTTGCACTCTTTCCACCTTCCAAGGGATGTCCACAATCCTCTGAGTTTGGAGGACTATAGGCAGCCCCATCAGATGGCTCATAGTATAAACTTACTTATTTTTTACAGTATTTCCAGCTTATTCAAAATAGATATATAAAACCATGCAAACATTCTTCTTGTTTATTATATTTTTGACTACTTTATAATTTTTCACTAATTACAATTCATAATAGCACTATGGCATAAATTATACGGAATATGATTAGTAATACTGCCAATAGGTTTCAGGTGAAAGTTTCCAAAAACAAACACATTTACTTTGCTGTTCCTGGTAACTTCTTAATCTGCCTATTGTTATTTGCTCATTGTCCAGACTTGTTCCCTCTTCATGCATTCATGCAGAAGTGTTACACTGATACATTATCAAGCTTCTGTATCTGTGGTTTAAAAGTATATTTTCTAGCTAACTGTTCTTTCTAGCAATAAAAATAAACTTGCATGTATACAGACTGGCCCGTCTGGCAGAGACTAGATCTCCAAATTGCTCAATATGCTTTGCCTTTCACGGTTCTTCTTTTAACTGGCATTTCACCAGAAATGCCCACAAAACTTGACAGACTCGACCCTGGATCTTATGTTCTGGGACTTAACAATGCACAAAGTTGCTGAATTTTTCTCTGTCTTATATTAAAAGCCAGATTGGAAAATAATTTTAACCTTTACCTTCCGTTCACCTCCTGCCCATCCACAAACTTATCATTCTTCCCTATAAAACATGTTTTAAATATCTGGGAAAGCTGGAGTGGCAGCTTTTCCATCTGTGGGCAGATGAAATCTCACTGCAGGAAGCCAGAAGATCTGATCTTTCCCCTCTGGAACACTGGTACCCAGGTGTCCTTCTGTCTGACACACAGGAGGAAAGACCCCAGTGAGTTGCTGCTGTCCTAGTTGGAGTTACTCCTAATGGAAAATGGAGTTTTTCCAAGTGCTGCTGTAAATCTGTTGGGGTCTTTCCTCCTGACCTATTAGTGCTGCATCAGAGAAGGAAGAGCTGTAAAGATGAGCTTCTATCCTCTTTTTCTTGTGGCTGGATAGGCACTGCTAATACCCTCCCTGTGTACCTTTAACATAAAGGGGACTGGGGATTGGAGAGCACAGAGGAAATCAGTTTGACTTCAGAAAATACACCAGGCTCTTTTCAAGTTTCCCCCAGGAAATTGCCTGGCAGATTTTTCAAACTGATCTGATGGAAACCAAGGTCATAATAGGTGCACCTCCCCATTTAGAATAGTTACTGAAAGCTAGTGGGCATTTTCTCCACTTTATTACAGACCACACAAGTCAACATACCAATAAACAGGTGTTTCTTTTGTGTTCCAATCCCATCCAGTTAGAATTGCCCATTTTCTTTTGAATCTGTTCATCTGTATGCTCATTGAAAATGACTGTGCTTTCATGTGATACATATGTCATGAGGATCAGAGAAGCAGTTCATAAATGAAATCTTTTGTCTTGGGAACCTGTTTATCCATCACAGTGTCCAAAATGATGTTTGGACACAGTTCTTGAGAGCAAAGATGGCAATTGTCTCCTCTTCTGTTTTAGCTAATTTCTTCCAGAGAACTGGAACAGGGCTCATTGCTTCCTGAGTGGAGTCTCATTCAAGCAGCTGACAGTATTAGACAAGATGAACTTCAGCAGTCGATCAGCAATCATGTACCTTCAGATTAGGGTTGGGATGAACCCCATTGGAATCCACCCTTCCAATCAATCCAGGGCTTCTTTTTGTGTTTAGCCTAGTCTTCCAAAGAAACACAATCTGAAGGGAACTCCATGAACACTGATGGATCTCTGAGTGTACAGCCATCGACATTCTTGTGCATAAATTGCAGCTGTGCAAAAGGCAGCTGCAGCTAGTATGGAAGAAGGATGGTGCTTGTGCAGTGGTCACAGTGGGCTTCCCGGAAAAGCAGGGCTGTTTTCCTGGCAGCCCCCCCTCCCCCCAAGATCAGCCTTCTTTGGCATCAGTTGCAGCTGCTCAAATAAGCAGCTGCTCCTGCTACATGGCAGGGGTGCTGCTTGGTTAGCATGTGGGGCTAGATCCCTACTGTGTGCCCTGCAAACACTCAGAGTACTCACCAAAAACATGGACTCTTGATTGCTGCAAAGTGGATCAAAGTTAGGGTGATCCACCCCTGGATGGATGCCTCACGCAACTGTACTTCAGATATATTGCACACACCCAAATAGATGTATTTAGGTTTTGATTTGCTACAGGAGATTGGCTCTTTTGTGGAAGTACATGTTTTGTTGCAAGGCCATGATATACTGCCTTGATCGTATGCATGTATACTCAAAATCCCATTCTCCTATGTGGCTCCCATCTAAGTGTGCAGAGAATGGCATCCGTAAGGTATTTTCCAATCCATTAGGAAGTTACTGGGTTTTTATTATCAATAGCTTTCAGTTACCTTCCAGTTCTCACCAAGGATTCTGTGCTATTGAAAAGCATTACTTCTGTGCCGCCATAAATTGGCCCAATAAAAATATTTCCTCATATGCCTTATAGCTATCATTTTGAGGGAACTATTGTTGATTAAGGCTCCCTATCTTGTCAGGTTTCAGCATTGTATATTTAGCAGGACTTCTGTTTAGACAACATGGAGCTCTGTTAATTTACATGATGTCAAGCTTAAAATGAAAGAAAATAGGGCAATCTGATTTCCTGGCAGAGAATTGTGGCCAGTCATTTCTGCACTGAACCTGTACCTTTCATCAAAGGCTAATGTTTGTCTTTAAAATTATATGCAGTTTCACCATAAACAGCATAAAGAATCTATCACCATCCATTCATAGGTTATTTCAGTGAATAATGAGTCACCTATTCGTATTCTTTTAAACGTTTTTATCTGCTAGTATCTATCTGTGAAATGTCTTCTAGTGTGATAGAATAAAAACATCTCTGCTAGTTGAAAACATTTCCAAAACAATTATATAGTGAAAAGTGCTCTTGATATATTAATATTAATTGTTCTTTGACTAATTCAAAATGTATTCTATAATTTGTGCATAGAAAGATTTAAGCTAATGAAGTAAGTGTACCAAATTTGATAGCCCTCTTGAATATCTCAGAAGTACTCTTATTGACTGCAGATTGATTTTATTTTAAATGAAACAGCAGTAGTTTATTTAGCTCATTTGCAAAATAAGTTGTAACTAGTGCTTTCATTTGATTAATCACACAAATTTCAATCTGTTCATTGATTACATGGAAATGCATTGGCATCTATTGAGTATTTATATGTATCTGAGTAAAACAATATCACTGAGGAAAAAAGGCATTGATTATGGTTAGATTCTGTACATGTTGTATCATGTGGGGACCATCTTAGAAGAGACAATTCTTTCAGAAGTGTAAGAAAAAGATAACTGCTCTTTAAAAAAGTGCTCCTATCCATAGATTTGTAGGAAGTTACAGTCATGTATTTATTTATTGATAATAAATAAAAATAATTAACCAATTTTATAATGTGAGGAAAAATTACCAACCAGTGCTTTGCTGCATAATGGCATTATTGCATACAGTAAAAGATAAGTGGGATTATAATAATAAACAATTGAAGCTCATTTTCCTGCATAGTTGCAGGAAAACTGGTAACTGGTAATACAACAGTCAGGATAGCCCAGCTTGATTATATTTTTGCTGTTTTGACAAGTTTTCTAGTTATATGATTGAATAACTGTGAAGAAGAAGCACTTCTGGTGTTTTTGGTGACAGAGCTGGGGGTGAGAAAGAAGGATGGAAACATAAATTAAAGGAAGACGTAACATCCCTGTGCCCAGTTAGTTGGGCGTAAGCCCATATTAGTTTTATGCTATTAGTTGTGGTTGATATGTGTTGCTGTTTTAGATAAATAATAGCAGGATTTGTTGTCAACTCTGAAAGGTCAGAAAGCAACAAAATTGAAAGCATATTTTACCATAAACATGTGAATATGACCATTCCTAAATTGTTTGAAATGGATAGCTAACTAATTGCAAAAATGTTTATTTAACTAATTATATTTAATAGTATTTTATTACGAAATTACAAATATTTTACTAATTATACGGAGGGAGTTGGAGCTAGGCTTATCCATACATAGGATAGGCTCATTGAAATTAATTTGTCTTAATTATGAGTATTTAAGTATATTTCCTTTAAGAATGATGAAGTCTGATCCGGCCAAGTATGTAATGGACACTGTTCAAATTTCTTAGTGATCTTCAGTTCCATTGATCTTTAAAGCAAGTCTTTAAACAAAACTAGCAAGGGTGCAATGCTATGCATGTTTATGCAAGAAAAAGTCCAGAATTTTTTTCTGTCGAACATAAATAGGATTGCATCCTAAGAGTGATTTTCACCTAAATAAAAAAGGCAACCAGTGAAATGAGTAAATGCAAATGGATTTTTAAATTTAAAATTATTTTCTAGTATAATCTTGAAATTTTCTGCATAGAAATAAGTCTAATTAAGTCCAGTAGAGCTCATTCCCAGTGAAGTGTGTATAGGATTACTGCTCAAGGGGTTTTTCCTGAAATATTTTATACAATGAAATTAACTTCATTCATTCATTCATTCAGTCAATCCTAGCACCTCCATCAATTTAGAGTACTTATTATTATTTAAACAGCTAAAATAAGAGCTGGGTAGGTTCTTTCAGAATTGCATTGAATATAATTCAGTGAAGTCTGCATCATGACTGTGAAATGTGCACCCATTATCATTGCTCTACTTTTGAAGAGTAGGGGCTGCTAGTGGATTTTTTACACCTGCTTTCTCCTCACCCATTTCTCAAAATCTCTACCTCTGTGTTTCATTTAATAACTTTATTGTACCTTTCCCCATTCTATTTCTTTTACTGCTCCTTGTCCTTCAGGCTGATTTCTTTTTGAAACTCCCCAGTTTTTTACCTTCTCATTGATAGCTATCATACGGCAATTTATATAATCTGGCTGAAATCACAGAAACAGCATCCCATAGCAGTTCCAAGGAAGCAGTAGGGGGAAGACACATGATGAAGAAATGATACAGGGAATGCTTCAACATCTCAAGAGTAAATGGTTCATTCCACAGTTAGTGGAGTTGGGGGCGATTTTAAGACACAGGATTAATTCAATTGATTAATCACTTGGTCACACCTCTTAACTAAATGGAATCTGTAGCCTAGAAACTAATACAGGGTAACCATGATCGTGACAGCTTAAAAAGTTCTTACAATACTTGTCTGCATAACTACTAGGATAGGAAAACATTATCTGAATTTATGTATAGTTGGTGAGATTCAGGAACCATGCTGGAATTTTAAAAAGGAGCACTGTTTTCTGTGTTACATTTGCTATAAAAAGCCTTCTTGTCAAGCATAACAATAATTCTTGATAATACAAGAGTAAAATGTCAGTTCTTGTTGCATCACAGATTCACTTAAAAAATTAAGCTTGCCTGTTCTTCCATTGTATTTGTCAATTGTTTAACTCAGCATGCTTAAATAAAAAAAACATTGTGCTTACATTCCATCTTTTCTTTTTTAACAGATTTTTTCCTTCCAATGGTGGACAAACAATGGAATGACATTTGGCCAGTTTGCATCACCAGGCAAGCCATGGTGGCTTGAATAAGGAACTGTGGCTTGTCCAAACAGTCAACAGCACCTGCCAGCTGCCATTTCCCTAATTACTCACACAGAGGCAGCTTGTTGCATCATTTGCATATAGTTAGGATGCTTGTTTGAGAGGGAAATGATGATGATATAATAGACCTTCAACAGGCCACTCAGGTTTGGATAACAGGATGAGCTGAGCCACACCTGGGTGAGGAATTAGAGAAATGGCACCATTGTGGCTTGTTTTGGTTGTGCAAATTGGGTCATTTTCTGGATTCCATGTAGCACTGGAAATGACCAATGTCTCTGAAATAGTTGCTTGGTACTTACTGATACTTTAAATATCAGTAAATATCAATATCAGTTTTCTGATACAGAAAACATCTAGGATTTAGTTATCCTAAAGAGGTATGCCTTATACTAGGGGTCAGACTAGATGGCCCAGGAGACCCCTTCTGACTTGCTGTGTTTCTGTGATGAGAACTCTGATTTACTAGTTTTTCCATGAGGATTCCAAAAGAACCCTTTTTTGAAGAGCCTGGAAAAAAAATAACTAAATGATAATAAGTCATTGCCACTTGTGGATCAGCTTCTTTTACAAACTTTATTCAACCTCATTTTTAGAAACCAGAATGTGAATAAATGATATTTTTAAAAAACATAGTTTAATTGAACTTATCTTTTAGTGGTTTGGTGACCTTGTGACTCCAGTATGGTGGGAAGATGTATGGCTTAAAGAAGGCTTTGCTCACTACTTTGAGTTTGTTGGAACCGACTATCTCTATCCAGGCTGGAATTTGGTGAGTTTCTGTTTGTTTTTTAAATTTATTTATTTTGTAAGAGACCTGAAAGGATAAATTCTCCTTACACTTTTGTTTAGCATCAGATGAGTCACAGCAAAGTTGTTGAGCAGTTGATTGAACATATCTCCAGTTAAAAGGCTCTTGGATAGTAGGTCTGGGAAGTGTCTTTGTACACTCTCCACAGGGCACAACACAGACAATAATGATTTAGCATAGCTGAGTCATGTTATTAGAGAGTACTGAAAAACAGCAAAAAGTATGTGCAAAATTCAGATGCTCAGTAAAGTAAAATCAGTACGTTTTAATATCAGTTGACAATGTGCTGAAAGTGTAATACTCCATTTCTTACAAAAGACATACAGTCATGCCTGCTGTAAATAAAAGTTAAAATAATAATGTTCTCTACGGTCAACAGCATTTCAGATACAAATAGTAAAATGGAGCACCAAACTTTCACACAAATTCTATCTATCCCTTCGTTAGAAATCCTGATTGTTAAATCATCTCTGATTTTTGGCACTATATTGCATTTCAGTTACAAAAATAATACTAGGTAAAAGGTATTCCTTTATATTTTTGTGAAATTCAGTGTACTAACTAATCCCACTTTACTGTTTGTGAATTGGTAACAAGAATATTGAATAGCTGTTTTCTAGGGGATTTGTAAAACAATTTGTATAGCGGTATTACCAGTTTTTTATTGATAATTGAGACTTGAAAATTAAGTTTTTATCAAAACAGATACTGCATATTCCTATAGAGATTTTGAGATAGATGCATATTACCAGTTTCTCTTTTGCTCACATCCAGAATTTTTAAAATCTTTTTTCCCATGCTGAAAATGGAAAAAATGAAAATTTTAATTAGCTGTCTTTTTGTGGTCTGAAAAAAATCACATGTATGAGTTCCGTATCTGTTCAGAGTCTTTCTCATATCTTCCTGGCTTGAGAATTTTAGTCAGGGAAGCTTCTCTCCCTTCTGCCCTTCGGAGCATGCCCAGGGAATGGCATTTCTACCTTTTCCCTTATGTTCTCTATACCACCACGATGGCACTGACTTCAAGAGCTTTCAAGAGACTGAGTTGAGTTTCTTGGTTTTTCTTTCACTTTTCTGTTTTTGTCTTCCTTTTTTCCCTTCATATTTTCAGGGTAGTTTTCTTCTTCATGGCGCATTACTGCCTTTTCAGGCCCCTTCAGCAGCTCCCTTCCTGTGGCATCCATCTTCCAGGGTATCAGATGAAAACCACATGCTTGGCTCCATGTCAGAACGGGAGCTAAGAGACTCTTCAGCCTTTAAAAGCCTCTGCAAGCACTATACTGTACTTGATCACCAAGCTACAGTCACTTATTTCACCCTAGAAGAGATGGCCCAACTAATACTCTTGATGTAATCTGATCATTTCTACTCAGGCAAAAGGGGATGTGTATCCATTGTGAAGAAAGTTTGCTTAAACCATTCTGATCCTGGAATAGACAATCCTCTACGAGAGACTCTACTCCAAAACAATACAAAGATTGGTACTGTGAACCACACCCTCCTCTAGTTGTGGGAAGTCTGACTTTGAAAAGTCCCTGCAACACATGCCAGTTCCCTGCAGAAATCTTACAGCTATCCTATCCAGGCCTCCTCTATCAAATCAACTCCCAACATTGCTACTCTAGGGCACCTCCAATTGGCCCTGTGAATTCAGGTGGACTTCCCCTAATCCATCCCTGGCCCACATGACTCCACAGAGGCACAGATGGTAGTCCCTATCGCGGGTATTGTTAGATCTTTCAACCACGTCTATGTTGTTCACTAAGGAACCACTAGATCCCCCCCTCCCCAATGCAGTTGGATCAGATTTCAGTGTTTGCTAACCTGACTCATCTGAAATGGAATCCTCTCCATGCATATTCACCTCTTCCCTAGATCATGGAGTCAGAAATCACTCACTACCATTGCCAACAGAAAACAATAATCCCTAAGTGGAACAATGAGTCTCTATGGTTATATCATAAGGTTTGGAAGTACAGAGAGTGATGCCATGATCAAGGACCCAGTACCGGATTTTGGCCAGACTGAAATGGCTGGACTAGTCATATTACAGATTCTCCCATCTTTCTTTAAGACAGCATCCAAGTCATAGAAAAAGTGAAAAGAAACAAAAAACAAAACCATTTACCACATCCAAGAAAAATTTTATGCTCTCCTTTTCCAGCACCTGGCCCCAACTTCCATTGTTTTCAAATCTGCTAAAACAAAACATCCCTGAAACTGCATTTGTCCCACAGCACTCCAGAGGGATGCGCAAGGATACAAGTTACTGTTGCACAGTCAAGCTGTCATTGCACATTGTCAATTGGCAAGCCTGTGTAGTAATTCACAATGACTGCTTTTGTCTGCTAGAAGATAAGATAGAAGTTCAATGTCTCTTTCAGAAGGAAGTCATTGCTCTGATGAAGGAACAAAACAACATGACCAAGCATGGTCGTGGTTTGTGGGCCTCACCAAAACAGCTGAATTGCATACAGAGTATCTGATCTTTGATTAGCAGGGGCAGTTTAACTCTGGTTGGGTCTATAAAATAAAGAAGCACAAAAAAGACGAGTGTTGGTGCAATCTAACAGCCCTACTATCCATGTTCCAGGCCTTGGGAGAGATCTCAGTGCCAGCCAACCTATTCTTCAACTAAGTGGTTCTTTTGAAAGGTTGGATCCTAGCAGGTCAAGTTATTCTTCCCTGTGACTCGGTACAAGCAACAATAATATCAGAAGAAGGGTGATGGACAAAAGCAGGGATTTCATTCATTCATTTTAATAATTTCTATCCCTACTTCATCCAAGTGGATTTTGCCCCACGGAGGCCTGAGGATACCAGTTTTATGATGTTCTGCATCCTGTTAAGGTATTATGAGGATTTGCACTGCATTACCACTGGCAAATAGGTCCAACCATTATACAATAAAGATATGTTATCAAATGAACCTGTGTGGGCATTGATGCCCACAGGAGAAAAGTTTTCTTTGCTTCATAGCAACACAGTCCAGAAGAAAGATGGAGATCTTCAGACCAGTTTTGATTTAACACCTACTCCCCTCAATTTCTATGCCCAGTTAAAGAAGTTCCACATTAAAACTCGGCTGTTCTCCACTACTTTTGGAAAGTAACTGATTCCTTTTTGTGTGTTTTTAAGGAGGCTTATTTCTACATGTCTTTTTGTCCAGCCTTCATTGGTACTTCAAGTTTGTCATTGGAGACCAGTATTACTGATTTGGGCTCCTGCTGTTTGGTCTTGGTACATCACCTAGAGTATGCTAAGTGCAAGCCAGTAGTTGCCATCAATCTTCATTTGCAAGGCATTACAGTATTCCCACATGTTGATGATCATTTTAGCATAGTTCCTGTGTCACCAACCTTCATTCTACTAATCAACTTTCATATCCAGGCTTCTGTGTCAATATCAAATTTGTCTTAATCGCAAGCACTTGGATTAATTAGATCAGCTCTGTTCTAAACTTGGAATGGGCAGGGATATTTGTTCCCACGGACAAACTCTTTCAGACTTTGGTTTCAGTGATAACTTTGAACTCATTAACTCAACCAGCTCAGTCACTCTACCTACAAGATACCAGATGTGAATTCTTCAAGCATGGTTTGTCACAGGATTTTTACAGAAAAGGATGCATTTTTACTTGGACTACTTATTTTGTTGTTCTATTCTCATCCCATCCACCAATAGAGGGAGAATTCCCATCAGGCAAAGACAACTGCCTTCCATAGTGATTGCTGGTACTTTAACTTCTGGCCAGGAGGCACATATTGTGACCATGCCAAATGATCTTTAGGAGTGAAAAAGTTAAGAAACTTAATGATCTTGCATTGTTAGTTGTTCAAAAGACCCTCACTGCTTTTGAAACTGTTTTCCGAAATCATGGTTTGCAATTCATAACAGCTAACTCAGCTACTGTGTGGTAAAGAAATCTCTGGTTGTTCCGTTCTCCTTTGAATCTTTGAAAATGGCTACTATTTCAAGGTGTCAGGATGTGTGTCTCCATCCCACAGTGCTCCATCCCAAGACCATACAGGCTGCTTCACACAACGTGATAACCAACACTCCTGGGTAGAATATGAGTTGAGTGTGGATTGTTGTTGAAATATCAGTGTGTCTGAACCAGACAGACTATGAACAACCTACAATTCACAATCCAACAACAATCCATGGGTTGTCTTTATGGTTGTACATAGTTTCAACAACAAGCCACATGCCCATGTTCCACTAACAAGCCAGAGTTCAATTACAACTGATTGAGAGCATTATGCTAATAAAACATAAACTACACTTAACTGCTGAATATTGTGCTATCTGAACCAGGTCACTGGCTGATGTTTCAAGCTGATTGGAATGAACATAGTCTGAGTTGTTGTTAGCACGCACAACCTGTTTCTGTTATGCAGTGTACAACAGGTCATCCTCTTTGCCATCATCAACAATTCCCAGTGTAGCCTCTTATGCAGTGGAATGGGTTTCTGTAACTCTACCCCAGGAGAGGCTTTCCTCTATAACTGGAACAGATTCTTTATGCATCCTTTCAGATTCTCTGCATTACACTGATTTGGACCAAATCTTCCTGAGATGGATCAGATATTTGGATTTGCCCAGACTGCCATGGCTTACCACTGGATTATCTCTGTCAGAAGGAGTCAGGTTCACATTACCCAATGTGCCACCTTCTGATCCAGTAGAGTGGTTGTGTTCAGGATACAGACCAAATGTTCGTCAGTCTCACAGCCTAGCAGTTTTGACTCCCTTGCTCATTCTGTGAGACATAGACTAGGTACAGATGCACCTAGGAAGCCTGCTACTTGCCTGTACCCTTCAATGGCAAGCATGTATATGATATGTAATTCAGTCTAAGCAGATGTTGTTCTTCTCCTGTTTCCTTCATCATATTTATCAGATCCTCTTGATACTCCACATGAGAGGACTCAGCTTAGCTCCCTGACAGTATTTATTGG